TGCATATTTATCATGACTACACTGTTTAAAACTAGAATCAACTGAATTATTGTTATCATTTTCAAAATTAAACTCTTGAAAAAAACTTTTTTTATTATCATATTCACTTGGCTCCCAATTAATATAACTGCAAATCTTTTTATACCATTCATTTTCAAAATCCGGGTCGTTAATATTTTGATTATTAAATTCTGTGTAGTAATCAGTACAACGGGCTTTTAGTAGTTCAGTCAGAGATTCATTTTCTTGAACAACTGGAATACTTTCGATTTGTGTAAGCAAACATGAATCAGAATACACGTTGGTTTGTGCAGGAATATGATTATTATTAATCGAAGACAATTTTTTTTCAACTCTGTTGGTATGGGAAACATCTGTAGCACTAACAACACCATTCCAGTACTGAGACGTATTTGTGCCTACGTCCAATATTGAATAATCCTGATTAAGAAAATTTGTACTTTCCGGATTTTGAGATAGTTCTTTATTTGGCGTCAAAGAAAAGTTATGTGTTTCATAAGTATATTGATCATATGTAAGGCCACTATCTAAATTATGTTTATTAGTACTTTGATCACGTCCAGAACTTGCCCCATCTTCTGTTTGCATTTTGTCATTGCGTAATAAGTTTTCAAATGTTGAATTTTGTTGTGTATCCTCTGATGTCCTAACAGTGTTATATAAGTTTCTATGAAATCGGCTATTTGTGTAATTTATATTAGAATCGGAGATATTAGTTGTACTAATGAAAAAAACACAAAAGAACATTTTTATGGGTCAAATTTTATTTTTATTTTTTAGATAATTATGATAATTGTTGATCACAAAACGTTTAAACATTATTTTTTAAAACACATGTTTGGTTTATATTTATAACAAGTGTAAAGATTTAAATACTAAATTTTTTAAAAATATATTAAATTAAAAAAAGACACACTTTTCTAATTAAAATATCAATATTATATTAATTTTTTTTAAAAATGGTTTGTGCTTGCACCATCAAATTAATAAACTTACCTTATAAAAATAATTATCCACAATGGCGTGTTATAATTAATTAACCATTAATAACTTCAGATTTAATTGTATGTATTTAAAATAAAAAATAATGTTTTTTGCAAATTTTTTGGCTATTTATTTAATTTGCTTAATTAAATTTTGTTTTTGCGTATTTACATAAATTTAACCTGTTTTATTTTATAAAAAAATGATTACTAAACGATTTTACATATTTATATAAATTCTAACAATTTTTAACTGCCTTAAGATCAGTAATTAAAATTTGTTTCTATAAAAAATAATTTTTCTTAAACTTGAATTTTAATTTAAAAATCTAAGAAATTTAAATTTCAAGAACAAAAATACTTTGATGGTAATACAGTAGCTAAAGCATGACTACGATAATTAAGAATTCTATGCTTATTTAAATAACTGAAAAAAATAAAGTAAATTTTAGCTTGTAATAAAATTGTAAAAGTAAAATATAGCAGTTTAATTTTAGCAATAATCTTCATACATTTGTCCTGTAGCATATAAGTTTACAAAAATCACTATCTATTTATTACATTAAGTATAAAAATCTTATTGTTTTTATTATTAAGGCGTTATTACGTTTCTCTATTATTACAAATGCTAGAGGTTAAGAGTGATACTCTAGAAAATTAATTTTAATTTATGACTTTTTAAACAATTATTGAAATTTTTAGGAATAGTTAAATACAGATAATATCTTATAGGCTCTTAGTAATATCGTATTGACAAATTATTATAGAAATTTGTAAATTTTAACAAACAAACTACATTTTTGATAGTTTAGCAAAATAAGCATGAACTTGTGATACAACATTGCAATAGTTTCATAAATATTTTTTTGATACTTCATAAAAAGCTTACAGGTTTATACAAATTATAGAGTTAGCTGTTTGGTTCTAGTATTATACCAGGAAGCTTTTTAAAGGCTTATACCCTGTAAGAATGCAACTTTCTACGCCTTTATAAAATTTTTATTTATTATTTTTCGTGGGTTATTTCTTTAAAATCGTTGCAAGCTGTTGGTTAATCCTAGATGGATTTCAATTTTTTGATTAGAATTTAACAGATTTAAAGACGCAAACCCTTCTTCACCACCATATACCAGACCAATATCTCCTTGCCTTCTATAGTCAAAAAAATTCTTTCTAAGGTTTTCAGTACTATTGATTAGACGTATGCTTCTTTCCTTGTTGTGTTCTCAGATTGTTTCTTATGTTTCTCATGATAATTGTTTACCACGTCATCCTTGTTATTACTGAAATGAGATATTAAAAAGTATTTACAGGAAAATAATTCATAGTATTAAAAGTAAGGAAAAAAAACTTACAAAAAATTATGTGGTAAATTATTCAACACAGTTAAAATCACATCAACACATTTTGAATGTAAGTTCTCAATTAACAAATATGCAGTAAATATTTAGAAAATAAAAAATCTTTATAATTTTAATGATACAAGTGACAAAAGTATAACTTACAGTTAGTCTAATACTATTTAAAGGTTAAAAGTCATCCAAACTACAATTAATAAAAAAAACGACAAATCATTGACAAAATTTATTAAACTTATAGATAAGAAGTTTTTATCGGTCGTAAAAAAAAATTATAGTCACTTTTTGAAAAATTTAATATAAATAAGTCTCGTTAAAATTTTAGTATATTTATATAATTTCATTAAAAATAATAATATTTCATGGTGATATTGGGGTGCACTAGCGGGTTGCAACCAGAATGTAGATATTTCTCTAAGACACTTCTAACATGATCATCTTTTCAACTAGTCTCCCCAAAACACTGAGAAGCCTTTTTGAAGTTAAAGGCGTGGTATAATACCACATTATGGTCGAAAGACCATGAACAAATTAAATTTATAATTTGTTCATAAAGTGAAATTTTATCATTTGTAACACTGACTAAACATTTTTCAATGTGATTGTTGACTTTTAAGGAGAAAAAGTATTTAAAGAAAAATTATAAATAAAACATGTTCAGTAAAAATCATTTAAATTATTTTAACCACAGGACCTAGAAGCGGTTCTCAGCCCATAAAGACCGGGCTAATAATAACACACCTATCAATAATGTGTTAAAAGAATATTTTAGGATTAACACCATTCCATGGACTCACATCAAAAAGATTTATTGAGATGCCTTTTTGTGTTACTCATTTTTATTAATAAAATTTCTATATTTTTATTTTCATGTTTTAAAAGGAACAAACCATATCCCCTTAAATCCGTCTCAACCCATTAAACTTGTTTCAGGTTTTTATTGGTTCATTAACATGTTGTATATGTTATACCACAGATATAAATATCGAAAAAAATTATATAATAATATTTTCCATAATTTGTACTGTCACAAAATTGTGATATGGTATGTTTTCACTCAACATCATAAACTGCAAAAAGAAACTTTTTATTTGTTTAAAAGGAAGAGTAAGAAAAAATTTTCAAGAATATAGCACTTGGAAGAACAGAAAACTAGTTAAAATAAATAAATAATTTAGTATTGATAAAATGTAAATCATTTTTGGAAAAAATCTTATTCGGGGGTTATAATTGAAAATTTACGATATTATTTAGACAATAATA